CCCCAAAACCCCAAAACCCCAAAACCCCAAAACCCCAAAACCCCAAAACCCCAAAACCCCAAATTTGGCTTAAAATTGAAATATTTTTAATTTTGAATATATTTTAAAGGAGTAATGGTCAGGCTAATTTTTGGTTTAGGAATGGACGCTTCAGTGCCGCTTTCGAATATGAGTTATGAGGATGAGGTACTTTGAGAAGGCTGAAGGGCTTGGGAGGGGGGTTTGGGGGTAGTTGGGATTGGGGGTTGAGTGTTGGTACAGGATAGTAGAGAGTTACTTCCGGTCGTGATTTCAGAGAATATGATAGCAGAAGGGCTTTATCAGAGTGATAAGAAGGAATTTGAGGGAGATCCAGGGCTTATATCCTTTGGTGAAGCGTAAGTATAGCTTTTTTTCGTAAATTTTCAAAGGCTCAATAGAAATTTATAGTGAAATGACTCCACAAAGGCTATTCCCAGATGTAGGCTGGAACATAGAACGATTTCAAACAGAAAAGCAAGACCTTTATCTTAATTATAGAAAGGAGATCAAGCAAGATTACCTTGCTGAAAGCCAACTATTAACTATCGAACAAGCCATCAGGTTGGCTAAAGCTGACGGTTATCACACAGAGCATATTTATGGGTAATTTCATCAACGCTCATTATTAGAAAAGACAGTCAAGATGAACATGACCCCCAAGAAGACTTTGATAGCGAATATCCGAATCAAGAAGAATATACCGATGCCTATAGCATGAACAAACGTAAGGAATATATGAAAGATTTAGGTGAAAATGGTAAAAACCAGTTTGACATTGCCAGTTTTTACCATCAAACAGAAGCTGGGTATGGAGCTTATTGCCAATCTAGGCCTCAAAATTATGAAAAAGAACTAGTACCAAGACTTAAGCATCTTCAGCCTACTATAAGGAGGAAGAACACTATTCCAAAGCCTATTCCTCGGATTTGTCGCAGACATCCTGTTCACGAAAAAGGTAGGCTAAGGCACAAAATTTAGAAATTCGTCCAAAACTCAAGAAATCAGATGCAGCTAAGATTCATGAAAAATTTGTTCAGAGGACAAATATTTGGAAGAAGTCTCGTGAAAATAAAAATATCAAGAATTATGCTACAAAGTAAGTCTTAACTCATAATTTTAGGACTGAGAAAGAGCTTGATGCATGCTCGTTTCGTCCCAAAATTAACTCATATAAGCCTGATTTGAATTCAACAATAAGTTATCAGGTAGGTTTTAACATATTTTAACCTTTAGGGAGAGCAAAGGAAGAAAGAAAGAGTAGCTAGTTATAAATAGAGAGCTAGAGCAAGAATGAACGTTCAAACCTAGAGTCAACAATGTTCTTGGTAATGATGAAGTCAGTAAGCTCCTTTCAAAAATACCTCTTAGAGTCTAAATATTGGTCACTTACAAAGAAAGTTATTAAAAACAAGGGCAACTTTAGCGTTCATTCTAGTCAAATGAGCGAGAAAGGTAACTTTACCTTACAAAAATAGAAAATGTAATACACTTGGGCCAAGTCAGGAAGGTTAGAGAGAAATCCATTGAAAAGCCTGGAGAGGATGTTTTTGAAAGATTATCAAAGCCAAAAGAGTTCTTATCAATAGACCACCTGCTATATGACATCCAGCAAATGCCAAATACTACTCGGAATAATAACTATAAGCCAAAATTGGATTTCTGGGAAAGACAGGATAAGCTTCAAGAGAAGAAGCTTAAATATGCACAGCTTAGTGAGCTGAATTATGAACAGAAAGAGAGCGAAGAGATTCTACAATCTAAGAATCCTTATAAGGATAGTTATACAGGGTATGAGAATAGAGAAGCAGAGGAAATGACATTTCAACCCCAGATTTCGAAACTTGCACAGAAACAAAAGGAGCTTAGAGAAGGAGATATTCATGGTACTTTCCTGGATTATATTTAGAAAGACTTTACCAGCTAAATTCTAAGTCAGAGATTGAGAAGGCTCAAGATCCTGACCAGATCCATCAAAGACATCCAGGTATGCCTAGGCTTATATTGTAGATGAGCCTATATTTTCGTTCCAGCCTGAAATAAACGCTGATAGTGAGACCTTCTCAAGATACATGGAATCTTATGCCAAGTAAGCTGCACTTCTTACTTATAGTTACAAGCAAAAACTTCAGGATAGGGATAGAATCATGAAGACAAATGAGCTCGATCAACAAACTCAAGAGCTTGTTGAATGAACTCACAAGCCGCAGACAATTGAATTGTAGCTCATTTTCTTTGATTTTCATAGGCCAACTTTCATTCAAGATTACCTATCGAAGACAAAGGTATTACTCTCAAGTTAATCTCTAGGATTTCAGAGAAGCCAAGAAAGAGCTGCAGGAGCTATGTAAAGAGGAAGAAAAGCCAAGATGGGTGTATAATTAAGGAATGTTGTTTACATAACAATACACGAACCAAATTCAATGCCTATCTATAAATTTGGGGTTTTGGGGTTTTGGGGTTTTGGGGTTTTGGGGTTTTGGGGTTTTGGGGTTTTGGGGTTTTGGGG